AGAACATGATATTTAATAAATAAAGGTAACTCTCAAAACGATAAAAAAACACCCCTTTGGACGTAATTTAAAATCTGAAACATTTCAGATTTTTTTTTTTTTTTTTTTTTTTTAACGTTATATTCATTAAGAAAGCGAACGTAACTCTTCGGAAAATCTGGAAATAGAGCTAATTAATTTACGCTGTGATATAAATCTTATTGAAAGATTTTAAGATACAGATTTGATTAACTTATATTAGTACTTGTCAAAAGATAAATATCTTAGGTTACGAATTTTTGTAATAAGAATACTCGCTTTGAGAACATTTACATGAGAATTTTTTTTTTTCATAGTTAAAAATTGTAAGTCTAGGAAAAGAACCATTTTGCCGATGAGTATCTACAATTTGTGATGATACTTTTTAGTAATTTTCCTCCAAGATTACAAACTTCATGAAAATCGAAAGTCATAAGGTGGTTTAGCTGAAAGGTGTATGAAAAAACAAAGATGTTTACAGTACATATTTTTTGTGTTTTGCGTCATAGAAAAGTGTAATAAATAAAAGAAAGAGAAATAGGTTGTCATTATTTATTCTCAAGTTTTTGTCCCTTTGAGTAAGCTTTCGTATATTTCTTTTTAGTTTAAATTAGAAGTAAGTTACTTAGTAGTTCAGTATATTACAATTAGCTGAATAAACGCCAATCTGAAAATTTTAATGTTTAGCTGTCTGTTCAAACAACTGTTTAAATTCCAGACTGTGACCAACAGAACTTTCTTGTAGCTGCCAACGTTTAGATTTCAGGCATAGAAGAACGCAAGTATATAAATAGAAATTTGATATTTTTCTTTGCGTTATTTTTATTCTTATGTTTTTACAAGTGTTTAGTAAAAAGATTTTTATTTAATGAACAATTTTTTTTTTGTTTAAAAAAATTCCGCTTTCCTTTTTTTTTTTTTTTTTTTTTTTAAAAAAAAAGCCCAGAAGACCTATTAATTTCATTTTGGCATTTTGTGGCGTTTCATTTTTCAAATTGTTGCCACCAAATATTTTCGCCCTACATTATATTTAAAGAAACTAAATAATGAAGAATCTGCATAAATGTTGGTATGTTTCTCGCATTGTCATAAAACAACGGTCCCTAGAGCCATCAAATTTTGAACAACGCACATCTCCACCCGAATATGGGCATCTGGAAGCCAAATTTTGGAATTTGTTTTATTAGCTACTTCATATTTTGTAAAGAAAAAATAAAAGCTATAAAAGCCGTACATACTGGACAAATAATACAACCTACAAAGGCGATGTGATTAAAATTTCACCTCCCATTCGATTAATGGAACAAAGACATCAGTACTTTAAATAGCATAATGGTGGGCAATAACTGCTGATAGACACCTCAGCATTTAAAGAAAATGATATGCACTTGACATATATCTAGCCATGTTATTTCGTTACATTGCCATCAAGTGTAGCGGCCGATGGTGCTGGCTGTGCGGATTGTTTGTCAGTTATCGACCAGACGTGTTCCGAAAGGTGACATATCGGGAGACAGCAGAGTGAACTGGGGACCAATAAAAAGCTAAACATTGCGTATCACATGCAGTCATGTATTGTCTCATTGGAATTTGGCCGCTGCAACCCTTGAAAGTAAAGGAGGACAACAGGTTTTAAAGCTTAAAAAATCTGTTAAGTGTGGGAGCAATATATCATACATTAGGCCTATGCAAGATTAAAAATGGTACCCTCAAGACATAACACTAGGTGACGGATCGATATGGTAATGCGGAATGCAAGGTCATGATATCTGCGACTGCTAAACAGACTGACTTGGACTGTAGGGATAATCTAGATTTGTGTGGAAACACAGTGTTATGTCATTCGTTGCCAGTGTTCGGTATTTGACGCGCTATTGCAGTCACATACACTTGTCATATATTGTCGACGGTAATCTCAGTAATGAATGCCTTGCAAAGATTCCTCTTCTGTGCAGATAATTGCCGAATGAGTATGTACTGATATAGGTGACGGTGGTATAGACTCTTACATCAGTATTATTAATTATTCTTAATATTGCTGTGTGATCCATTACTGCCATATGCAGAGCATGCCTGTCTTCTCATTCGGTAGTGTGACAAGGCTGGTGCAATCATTCCCACTGGTTGGTCCATCCCTCTTGAAATAACCTTTTCTGTATTTGCATCACTGTGGCTTGATTTTATCCAGTATGAGCACTGATTTCTCAGAAAGAGTATGCATTTTCTATAAGGTACAATTCTTTCGTTTTCAAACTCAACTAACTTGATTGACTCCTATTTTTATAATGAGGTGTATTAAAGCTTCTATAGAAAAGAACAATGGGAAAGCACACAATTCCAGTATTTAAAACAATCGATTATTTTTTCTTTTTATGGCGCATCCAGCTGGCATTGTTGAGGAACTTGATTCGCATGCGCACAGCACTGGTAATCATTTGCATATGCTGTTAACTTATGCAAATTTCAAACCTATTGGGTGCTTCCCTCATGGTGCTGCATTTTGGATGGCCACAATGTAAAACGTGGAAGTCGATAACTTTTTTCTTCCAGGATTTGCTCAGCTTGGTTTGTGCTCCTCTCTAGTTGCTTTTTAAGTGAAGGAAAATGTAAAAAATTATCGAAATGTTCCATACAGTGGATAAATAGTTAGCACGTCCAGTTAGATTGGAAGATCTATGTTTTGAATTCTGACGACGATATAGTTGATTTTTCATATTTCCTAGCTCCTGAAACTTAATAGTCTCTAGAAATATACTTGATTGAGAGGATACTTTCTTTCTTGTCTTTGTACTAAAGAAATATGAAGTCAATTCAAAGAATGTACTTCATACCGTTCCTCTTCAAGATATAAGCATTATTTTGTGACTCGGGGATTTTTCATGCTATAGCATTGTCCTAAAGAGTTTTAAAGTACTGCTTTTACTGTCTGTCTAAGTAAAACTGCATCATCTTTTTCAGTTGTTTTTAACTATTCGTTATTTCATTCCTATTCATTTCTTTATTTTTTGACCTAAGGGTTTTCACACTACATTCTCTATGTACTATTTTAAAAATCAGCTTTACTAAGTAATATTGTATCATAATTTTCAGTAGTTGCACCTCTGTCTGTCTCTCTTTTTTTTTCTTGAATAAAACTGATAACTGCTATTATTTTAATCGTATTAATTATCCACAGTTACTGTTTGCTTGTATTCACGTATATATTTATTTAAATCTAGGCTCATGCTTTTTTTTTCTGTCGTCAAAATCCACAGTAATCGTGAGCTCAATGGGCAAGTAGCGTTCCTGTGCTCTGCGATAATCACATAAACCAATCTTAACTAGTAGCTGAAATTTACAGCGCAGTTTAATATACAATCTTTGATCGATAACTATGGTGAAGTATTACTTTCATGATTTATTTGCAGGAAAAGTGGTACATGTATGCAGGAATGCAGTTTCTTGTCCTTCAAAATAATTGCTGCCTTGGTTATGCACTTCCAAGAACACGTGTAGGGGATCCTTTTTTTAAAATAAGGCAGCCTGTGGAATGCAGTTCAGTCCAGTGTTCACATTGCGTTCGATGTCAGAATTTCGAAAACCATTGTCCTTTTAAGTGTTTCTTCAAGCGAGGGAAAAGAAAATATTAGGCAAGGGCCAGATCTGGTGAGTAGGGGTAATGGAGTACAGCAAGATTTATTGGAAGCGGCTGCACGGTTATGGCGCTATGAGGATGTGCATTATCGGACATCAGACACCAGGATCCGTTTTCGATATGAGAGCACATACGACTGTTATTCTTCAAGAGGCAATCTAAGATGCTTGCGTAAGTGGCCGCATTCAAAATCGTGCCTTCTGTCAGGTATTTTTTATGAATGATTCTTCTAGCATCAAAAAAGATAATCAGCATTTCTTTGATAAGCGACTTCTCACGCCTAACCATTTTGGATTTTTGTAATGGGCTGCACCACTGCATGCTTTGCCTTTTCGATTGTGGGTCGTACCTTAGACACCACAAGTCATCGCTCTTAACGATCCATTAAGGGAAGGGGAAGCCATTATCAACTTTGTCGATAAAGTCTTATCCTGCCTTGCTTTTGATCAGGAGATGAGTCGTGTGACACTACTAAGCGCGCACACAGCTCATGTTCCATAACTTTTCGGTTACATTTGAATAAGCAGACACGTACGAGACTCCTGTAATCTTCACCAATAATCAAACTGTCAGTGAACGATCTTCGATCAAGATTTGGTGGGTTTTCTCGATGTTTTCATTCGTTGCATGATTCACGTGTCTACCTAGGCGGACCATCACTGAAGCGCTTATATCTCTTGCACACTTTTTCGATAAAACACTGTTTCCATATACCTGCTGCAACATGTCACGACATTCAATTGGCGTTTTTCTAAGTTTGAGACGGAATTTCAAGTTCTTACGTTGCTCAATTTCACCCGTAAAATCCTTGGCTGTACTACACCTTACTTCTACAGCGCGTACACACAAACTATACGTCAAGCGACCACATGGCTTTGTGAAAGGTGAATGACGGACTTCTGGCTTCATTGACGGGACCGTCAACCAGTAGCCATGCTGCATGCCAGAAATTAATTCACCGTATTTATTGATACCATTATATAAATGAAACGCAAGAATATAATTTCTGAGTTGCGAAAATATGCCAATTCTAAAATCAGTTATGCAAGAAATAAGATTAAACAATAAAGCTGAGATATGAATCAAATTTGCCATTTTATTCACATTAGTTTACACAGTGTTTTATGCTTAGTACAGCATTGGTATATTTTACACTTTCAAATTGAATAAATAATTTTGGACAATATTTCTTCCTTTAAAAAATTTGGTTGAGAATTCAAGATATTTTTTATATGTTTAGTTTGAGATGTATGAAGTTTTATTTATTACACTCGTCAATAAAAATTGATCCCCTCATTTATTAAAATATAAAATAATTTTATTATGAATGTTTTAATGCTAGTGATTAATAATTTTACTTAATGATTATGTTTCATTTCAGTATACTCCAACCTGTATTTTGACAAGTGGAACACTTGCAAAGGATTATGAGAGTATTCCTTTCCCTTGTAAATGCAAATGTCAGTGTCAACCACTCACATGTTCATGTATCGTTGATTCAAACATATTTTATGCAAATGGTTTACTGCCAGAGTATTGCCTTGAGACCACAACTAAGCCAATAATAGAATGTTCCAGTCTCTGCGCATGCAATCAGAGTTGTCCAAATCGAATAATTCAACAAGGAATAAAATTCTCTCTGCAAGTTTTCATGACTAAATCAAAAGGATTTGGTGTGAGAACATTAGAATTCATACCCAAATTGTCATATGTTTGTGAATATGCTGGAGAAATTATTGATTCTTCAGAAATGAAACACAGAATGAACAATAGATTCTGTGATGAATCTAATTATATATATGTTTTAAAAGAGCATACATCTGAGTCCAGATTATGTACAATAATTGACCCCACTGAAGTTGGAAATGTGGGAAGATATCTGAACCATTCATGTAATCCAAATTTAGTTTCTGTTCCTATTCGGGCCAATAGTATGATTCCTAGAATTTGTTTCTTTGCCAAAGGAGATATTTTGCCTCTACAAGAACTGACGTATAATTATTCTGGAGAATTTGATGAAAAAGAAAGCAGTTTTAGTTCTACTAAGGTAAATGCTTCCACAGATGCTAGACAAAGGTGTTATTGTTGCTCTCCTAGCTGTACTGGTTTCTTACCATATGATAACAACTGGTTGTCTTGACACATAGAATGATGTATGCTAGTATGAAGTGAAATTTTTAATAAAGTGATTTTATTGGCAAAAGTGTTTTGAAGATTAATGTACAGTGAATTTTGCCCTGAAATGAACTACGTCCATCGTTCTAGACGACTTAATCTTTTGTAGAGGTGATAGTTTTAAAAAACAAAACTATCGGTTTAACCCTTTGTTGCATCATGTCCACTCTAATGAAGAAAAGTTTAAATTTGTTTATTCTTCTGTAAATGCCTTAACAGATTCCATTTCTGTGCTTATTCATTCTACATTATTAGAACTTTCAACTGTCGATCAGATGGCTTATAGCATCACTAAGTAAACATTGCTATGGGAAAATGGCTGCTATTTTCTGTTTACAATAGTAAATTTTCATAGTAAACATTATATAAAGCTTACATTTCTTATACTGCCATTTTTTATTCATAATAATTAATTTTAGACATTTTATTTAAATTTCAGTTTGAGAAAATTGTGGAGTAGGTAGATAAAGATCTACCGAAAGAGTGAATTGAAACCCAAATTGTACTGCTTATTAAGCTAAAAACACACTGGAAATGTTTATGTTTGCAAGGAATTTAGAACATTTGACTCCAATAGGTACAGGTTAAAAAATCGTAGCAAAAGAATTAAATCACATCGACGAAAAAAAGATATTGGGGGATCTATATGTACAGTCAGTTGTAGATTTACCATTAGAAGATGGTAATAATCATGCAAACAAGCAGGAAATGATTTCAAATGCAATGACCGTAAATCGTTAGGAGATTTATGAGTACGTAGCATGCTGTGTCCACTGTAGTGAACGTCGGCCCACCAGCGCCGAGCGGTAAGTCGCGAACACTGGTAGTTCGGTCCTGGTTCGAATCCCGCGAACGGGCTGGCTGCAGGGGTTTTCGTGGTTTTCCCCATGATAAACATGTATACGAGCCAGTTTCCCTTAGAAAGTCCTCCACTAAGGCATTCCCCCCTTAGGCAGATAGCCCTCGAGGCTTCGCCATAATCACACACACACACTGTAGCGAACAAATTAGCAATTATTTAAAACGAAGTTTGAATAAAATTAATTTTTTTATTATTAATAAGGTTATTTTAAGTAGAAAAAATACAAACATTTTCGCTTAACTTCTCTAGCTTATTTGTATGCAACAAAGGGTTAATACCGTTCAAGACAGAAGAGAAAGCTGTCAAAGTAAAACAGAATTAGACGAGAAACACTCCATAGTAAAAGAAAATTAGGCAAAGCAACAACCTTGTGTTTGGCGTAGATTTTATCAATAAGACTATCAATTTCGAGAGCAAAACAGGTACATCTTCATCGGGAGCACAGAAATCTGAAAGACATTTAGACAATTCTATATTACCAAGCTATTGCAGGTGCAACGTTGTCGGTTTCTTTAATTAAGTCCAAGGGCACATGACATAATGAATTCATGAAATGGAAAACATCTCGGATGAGAAACGGAGAAAGGAAAAGTGAGAGGGGTACCAAAAGGAAAAAGGCCAAAGGCATCTAGCAGGTGAACGGAACTTGAGAAGATGAAGAAAATCCGAACGGATCCTTCACAATTCAGAGAAACGACAAATGCAAAACATGGTTCAAAATGCTATACAACAACAACAAAAGTTCAATACTACTATAAAACTACACAAATTCAACCCATACAACAGAAAATCAATACACAACGACAACATCACACTAACAATCCAAACAACTTAGAGTACACCACTGCCTTTATCAGATAAAATGAAAGCAATTACCGCCTGCAATTGAGGAGCAAGAGAAGAAGCGGAAGTCTCATCCCATGAAGGTGTGAGCAGCAAGTGGTCTTATGCTGCGGTCTTCATTGAAGTATTTCGTAGTTGAAGACTTGGGAATAGTTCACATAGTCGCATTGGACAGCTTTAGAGAAGAATTTCTCATTTGTTCTTTTAATAAATTCTGTGATGGTTTCAAGCGTAAGATATGTATGAAGAAGTTAATTTCGGATGAGAAAGTCAGCATCAGTGATAATACGAAGAAATTTATTCTGCACTATTTGAAGTTGATGTAATTGATTAGGAGAGGCAGCTGGAGATGCATAACAAAGACTAGGTCGGATACAAGTAGTATAAATATGTCTCTTGGTTCTTAGGCTAAGGTTAGAAAATTTTACAATTACTGGAAGAAATCTGCACATATTCCTATTGCTTTATTTTTAACATTCTTGATATGATTGGTCCAAGTGAGGTTATGGTTAAGAATCACTCCTAGGTATTTGGCTTTTGTAACTAAGGGAACAGGCTCTTGAAAAAGGAAAAGTTCTTTAAACTTAATGCGTTTTTTGTTGAAGGATTAAAAGCTGAGACTTACTGACGTTAATTTTAACTCTCCAATTGGTGCACCAGTTCTCTACAGTGTAAAGAAAATCTTGCATTTTATCAATTGCATGATTAGCGTTGATAGACTTGATGGCTATCGCCGTATCATCGGCGTAGCATGCAACAAGAGAGTAGTTGTCAAGTCCAGAATGAGGAAAGTCTGAGATATAAAATAGGTAAAAAACCGGTCCGAGGATGCTTCCTTGTGGGACACTAGATCCTATAGGTCTCAGAGGTTTCATTGCCTAGTGAGACGAAGAACTTGCGATGTTGCAAAAAAGGAATAAATCAGAATTAATTCTGTAGGCAATCCAAGGTTGATGATCTTGAAAACAAGCCCCTCATGCCAGACGCGGTCAAATGCTTTTGCCACGTCCAGCATAAGGAGCGCTACACTTTGCTTGTTATGAAAAGCAGAACCGATGAATTTCACAATCCTGACCAGTTGACGAGTGGTGCTGAGATTTTTACGAAAACCATATTGATCATTAGGCAGAAGATGCATATAAGGTTCTAATCTTTTGAGGATGAGACGTTCATAAATTTTCCCCGAGGTTCGATAATAAGCTGATTGGTCTGTATCCATCTAGTTTAGAAACATTTTTGCCTGGTTTAGGCAGAAGAAAAATTTTGGCTTGCTTCCAAGAGTCAGGAAATTAATTAATATTAAGGCAAGCATTAAAGATGCAAGTAAGTTCACTAATCACTTTTCTTGGGAGATTACGAAGCATTTGATTGGTGATTTGATCTTTTCCAGGAGCCTTTTTAACATTTAGATAACAAATGATGTTAGTAACCTCCAATGGAGTTGTAAACTTGGGGAGATTGTGAGCAGTGGAAGAATAGAGCCATGAATGTACAGGTTTCCAGAGTATCTTTAAAGGTAGGATTCATCGGGTCCGTAATCTGCAAGGGAAAGCCACTGTTGAATTTATGCCCTCAAAAAAAGTAAAGCGAACGGAGAAGGTAGTGCCATCTTTCGATAGAAATAGTAAACCCAATTTACCAGTGGAAGAAGCTTTCTGGGTAATTTTTGCAGACCCAATGTCAAAATTGTGAATAAATTCTCAAACATTAGCTATCGAAAGCTTCTAAATTTCGCCTTTTCGGACAGAAGGCTCTTGTCCCTTGATGGGAAACTTTAACTCTGTTTTAGTTTGGCCGCTATATCTGAAACTACACTGACAAGATATGCTATGAATTCATCGAGAATGAATGCCAGAAATGGGATTTTATTGATAGGCGAGAAAGTGGCTTGAAAATGGAACTTCTGGAGAATCCGTGCAATTTTTTAACTGTTAGAAGGATGAAATGGAAGCATGATAAGGTCATTAATGTTATTTTTAACAGCGGAATGTCTTCTTTGATGGCAAAATGAAAATTTTTTTTAAGGCTTTATCAATCACTATGGAAGAAAATCCTCGATCATTGGCAACTGAGTTCATTAGCAAGCAAAGATTCTGAAGAACAAAATTTAAGAGCTCGAAATACCTAACAGTAAAAAGAAGCAATTTTTTGTTTAACCGGGTGACATGACATAATTAAGATTTATCTCAGATTTTATCTGTTGTAAATTCTATTGATCCAGTTATCTAGTTCATTTCTGAAACTGAACCTTACCTTAGTTGATAATTTTTATAATCCACACTGAATATGATTTCAGAACTACTGTTTACTGTAAACCTTTATCTGTTTATTTGACTCCCCATGTTAAGCCATGTCGCTCGGCTAAGCAAAAAATGGATCCTTTTTGTATTTCGAGCACTCAAAGTATCTTTGCTTGCTAATGAACTTAATTATTTGAGATCAGTTGCCATTGACCAAGAATTTTTTCCTGAAGTCATTGATAAAGCCCTTAAAAATTTTTCATGTTTCCGTCAGGCAATCCGCTATTAGAAATAACGTTAATAACCTTGTCGTGTCCCCGTTTCGTACTTCTATCAGATATAAAATTGTACGAATTCTCCAGAAGTTCAACTTTTAGGTAGTTTCCTCCCTTCTCAATGAAACTCGTAATTCGATTTTTAAAGCTTCTATCTCTGACTTTAACTCTTGAGGAATTTATAGCATATCTTCTCAGTGTATTTGGAGATTCATCGGCCAAAAAGAGCTTAAAAATTTCGAATCAAGATTAAACAAATCCTCTGTAGCCAGTCGTAGCTAGAAACTTAATTTCAATTTTTACTTTAGTTCTGCGAGAATTATCTAAAAACCTTCTTACATTGGTGAATTGAGTTTTGTGGAAGTTTTCACATTCACAACGATTTAGCTTGTTTTATTAGTTACTTTAATTCCAGTGCAGTCCTTCCTAACGCTTTTAAAGTTCTCTATTAATTTAATTTTTCAATTTTCGTTTTTATTCCTGCCGACAGATGGTGCTACCTTCTCGTTCCCTCTACTTCTTTTGAGTGTAAATGCAACCGTGGCTTCCCTTTCTTTGCTGCTGAGGAAGAGGGACCTGTATATGTTTTTTTCGAAATCAATAGAGTCTTGTCTAAAATCTGCACTAAACACAATATAGTTGCTTTGCCTAATTTTATATTTAATACTGTTATTTAATTGTGTTCTCACAAATGGTAGTCCTTTCAAAGGTCTTATATATCTAGTCGTTGTGAGAAATTTTAGGGTAGTAATTTACAATATAATTCTACATTACTACTAAATACTGAATTACCTCGATTATTGAATCT